TTATGGGGAGGATTGGGAAAGTATTCCAGTAGCGGCAGTGACTGTACACATAGAAATCTTCCATCATCCGGGGGGGAGCTGTTACACTGTAATCCGGTAAGATAAAAGCAGATACAAAGGCGCACTGACCTCATATAACATTTCCTGGTATAAAAGGCGAATGCTCTCAGAGAAGAAGCGCCTGGCACAGTGAAGGGAAGAGGTCTGGTTCTCCCAGTACAGAGCCATATACAACATCAATGTGCTACTATCAGCCAGACGACCGGCATTTTGTAAAGGTGACGTCAGCAATGGCAGCGTTCATGTTCCATCAGCTCAAGTTTCCTTTCAGTGCCCGGTGAATGCTGGAGAGCTTAAAGCTGAACTGCGGCACAAAGTATATTCCTCACTAGCCGCAAGGGATAAAATCTACCGTGCGTTCACAAAATGCTTGTGCAAACCCAGATATTACCTTGTGCAGAGCTGTGGGAGGGGCCCAGAAGGACCCACCCACTACAGACTGCATGCAGGAAACTACAGGAAGGGGCGGAGACAAGACCAGTCACCCTGCACAAGGAGAGAGAGCAGCAGTGACCGGTCTTTATTAGAAGAAGGCCCCATCCACTACAGACTGCCTGCAGGAAACTACAGAAAGGGGCGGAGACAAGACCAGTCACCCTGCACAAGGAGCGAGAGCAGCAGTGACCGGTCTTTATTAGAAGAAGGCCCCATCCACTACAGACTGCCTGCAGGAAACTACAGGAAGGGGCGTAGACAAGACCAGTCACCCTGCACAAGGAGAGAGAGCAGCAGTGACTTGTCTTTATTAGAAGAAGGCCCCATCCACTACAGACTGCCTGCAGGAAACTACAGGAAGGGGCGGAGACAAAACCAGTCACCCTGCACAAGGAGAGGGAGCAACAGTGACCGGTCTTTATTAGAAGAAGGCCCCATCCACTACAGACTGCCTGCAGGAAACTACAGGAAGGGGCGGAGACAAGACAAGACCAGTCACCCTGCACAAGGAGAGGGAGCAGCAGTGACAGGTCTTTATAACAGCAAGCTCCAAATGTCACACTGACTGGTTTATTGTCTCCCAATATAGTTACATTCAAGGCACGCCTCTGGTGACAACTGACATCTAAATAGAGGCCAAGATGGCACCACCTATAGCTGTAGAGTGTAGGAAAAGTTCCACTTCAAGTGTTAGGTTAAAGCAACTTTTTCCTTTGTCAATGATTACAATTACCAAATTCAGCCTATAAGCAATGCAGCGGTGCATAATCGTAAACCTTAAAGTTCAGAGCAGAAGCACTGAAGTCACCCAAGCTTAACCCCCTTTCAGATTTCCTGATCTATGTTTATTTCAGAGATCAAAAGGCAGGAAGGCTGCTGAGTCAATGCTGGGAGGAGGGACAGGGGGAGCTGAGCTGCTGAGTCAATGCTGTGAGAGGGGAGCAGGGTGAGCTGAGCTGCTCAATTGCTGCTGGAGGGGGGCTGAGCTGCTGAGTCACTGCTGGGAGGAGGAACAGGGGAAGCTGAGCTGCTGAGTCACTGCAGGCAAAAAGGAGCAGGGTGAGCTGAGCTTCTGGGAGAAAGGGAGTGAGCTGCTGAGTCACTACTGTAGGATAGCAGCAGGAATTACGCTGCTGAGTTGCTGCTGGTAGAGAGGAGCAGGGGGGAATGGACTACTGAGTTACTTCTGGGAGGAGTAGGAGAGATGCTAAATCATTGCTAGGAGGAGGGAGCAGGATGAGCTGAGCTGCAGAGTCACTGCTGGGAGGGGGGAGCTGAGCAGCTGCTAAGTCACTGCTGGGTGGGAGGGAGAATTGAGCTGCTGAGTCACTGCTGTGGGTAAGGAGGGTGGGGGGGAGCAAGGGCAGCTGAGCTGCTGAGAGAATGACTTGAAGCCCCTTTTACAGAGTCCATGTATGGACTGGTGAGACCTGGAAACTCCCTAAATCCAACCTCATATCAATATGGACTCATGCAGAGGCATGGAATGGCCACTAGAGGGAGACATACACACAGCAGGCCGTCTGCTCTACACTCGCAGCTTTACTTGCTAAACTTCTATTGCCGCAAAATCACATCAAAGCCCCCATTCACACGTGCAAAGTGCGACATTGTGCATTGCGTTTATGCACATTTTTTATGCGTTTGTTGTACGTAGGGCGGCCTATTTGTTTCAATGGGCAACAAAAGCAGCAAATAAACTCATGCTCCTTTTTGAGCCTTGTGAGTTTTGAATCACATTTGTTGCATATTTGTCGTGGATCTTTGCTTGTGAGAAAAATGCACATTGAATGGCACTGCAAGCACAATGCATGGGATCTCGCAGGCGCTCGCGCACTACACTAGTGTGAACGGGCAGTAGGCATGTTGTGGCTGATTAGCGGATTAAGAACAAAGCTGGTCTGCCAGGAATTGGCTAAGAAGAAGGCAAAAATGTAAAACGAATGTCTCTAGTTACCTATAAATGCCATTTAAATATCCAATATCCACATCCAGAGATCATGGTTACAATTTAAAGAACATTTCGGGCCTCTAATTTTCAAGAATTGTATTACTTGACCTGTTTCACTGTTAATCACACCTCTCTGTAACTCGCGGTATACTGAGACGCCGCAGCTGAAGCGGATCCCGACAATTGTGCCGGGATCCGCCCAGCTGCGTGACTGACAGCTGGATCTGCCTATCTAGAGGCGGAGCCAGCTGTACCCGCCCCCTCCCCCGTCCGTTCCGCCAGTCAGCGCTGGCGGATCGGAGCGGGGAATCCGGCCCCTCCCCTGTCACGATCGAGAGGTGAGCGAACGCCGATGTGTTCGCTCACCTCCCGATCTACTGAGCCGACCTGTGACAGTCTCATTGTCACAGGTCGGCTAGAACTATGAGGTGAGTGAAAAGCACTCTAGACCTATTATCCAATGGAAGGCTCTGAGCTCTGCTTAGCTAAATCCAGGTGGTGACTTTTTTTGGACAGGCAGTGCATAGACACACACACCTTAGTCACACTGAGAAGAAGGGACCATACCATGCATATGAACTGACTTCTGTTGGAGAACGGATGCATATTCCATTGTCCTGTATATAGAAGGGAAGAAGTCCATGTATTCCTATCCTTATTGGCTCCATCCATGGATGAGGACACAGTAGGTCACCTAATGCTAATATCATTGACCACGCCACTTTGTGTTCTTGTGAGAACTCTTGCATGGTTTACACAATGCCTCCCTACTCTGTGTATTGTCCTCCCCTCTTTGTAGTTGCCGTGTAGAAAACAATTAACCCCTATTATCATGTACAAGGCCGCCATTCCTTAACCTTCCCAACAATATCCTCCCTGGTGTCCTGTCCTGTTCAGAGTCCATTCTTTTCAAAGGAATGTTCCAAGTCAACCTCTTTTGTTCCAGGCACGTACTTATTAGTTAAAATAAAGCCGAAGAAAAGGGTCAATTAGTTGAGTGGGGGTGTGGCTAGATGACGTTCCCACGCATCGACAAATCTTAAAGGGTTAAAGGGTCAATCCACCCATAAGTGGTTTGTTATTAGGAGGGGCGTCCCGAGGCCGTGTGTTACCCGGTCTCCAGATCGGGTGAAACCCCGCCGTGTCGTCATCGCGTGTGTGTATGACATCACCTCGAGCGTGCGCGATGACATCATCACGCATGCGCGGCCATCTGATTGACGCCTGCCGACGGCCATCCTGGTGATGGACGCCAGCAGAGAGAGAAGGAGACGTTCACCCAGCGGGATGAGGTATGCTGCCGGGTCCCCTCCTCTCTCCTGACACTGTTGGGCTCTCGGTCCATGACCGAGTGCCCAACTTTTTAGAGTGGGGTGACACCAAAATGACTGTCAGTCATGTTGGTGTCACCCCTGCAATGGTGTCACCCGGGTGCGGGCCGCACCCCCCGCACCCTTCTTGTGACTCCACTGGTTATTAGTAGGTGGGATCTCGAGTCAGCTGCATGCTTCTTATTAGACATGAGTAACATTTCTGAACTTTTGGCCAAAATTTAGGGGAAATGTTACCATTTTGCTGAAGGCTGGTTTTTGGCGGGTTTTAAGGGTGCGGTGGGTGTTAGTCGGCTCCTTTCAGCTATCCTCGGCTTGTTGTGAGCCAACACATGGCCCCTCACAAGTCTAAAAAATATATATAACTGAATTAAGTCATAACACCCTCCCCCAGCCCCCCACTGCTTAGGTGGCACCCAAGGCCATCTTTAATATTGATTGGACCCTGGGCAAACATCTTCCCGCCCCCCACCCGTACTAGTCCCGTCAGAGGGAGATGTGACCTCGCATGAGGCGTGATCCTGCACGAGACGTCATGACACGGCAGGGGCGGAGCAACACTATGCGATTCCGATCACATAGTAAACAGAACGGTGCCGCATGTGTATCTTTTGTGGGCTCAAGAGGTAGCTGCTTTGGGCCTAACAACAACGACTGGGCCTGAGGTAACACCTCCCCTCCCAGTGGTGATTATATACCACCAAAAGAAAGCTCTATGTGTCCCTAAAAAATGTTAACATAAATTGCAAAGCTCTAGTCCGGTCATGCCGATTGGTGACATTTTTGACTGACCGGTGAGATACCCTAAAATTTTCCAAGCCCTGATAATAATAATATTTGTATGTTTATGTAGAAAGGTTTCGCCGTGTCGTTCAGAATGTACCGTCGCCATTCATCCACTAGATGGAGAATCAGTACGCGTCCCCATCCCAGCGCGCTCTCCACCTCTTGCCGAACGACTGCTGTGACTGTACAGACTACGAGACGTGCTCCGTGACGGCTGCAATTTCCAGCGCAAAATGCGGCGTAAGTAGAAAAGCGCAATGCGCCTTGGCAACCTATGTGGTGTATATGTCAACAAAGAACGGCGGAGGATATGTAATAAAGCCGGACACAAAACTCCCAAAGCGGAACAATCTCGAGGAGTTGAAACTTAGTGCATTCTTGGCGCAGCTGTCGCTGCACCCTCTAACACGTCACTCCGGCACAGATAAACAACCACAGATTTTAAAAAAACAGGGCGTTGTCCGTAGCAACCGGCGTTTGCCTGCATTCTGTAATGTGCATTAGAAGAGGCGGGTTGTGTTTGAGTGCTGTGGGCACATGTTGTAACATTCACTTCCTGCGTTGTGCAGTGACTCGTCTCCTCGGTGAAAGTTTTGGATTTTCCCATCGGGACTTTTGAGACAATGTAAGAGCGGCGTCTGGCGATACGAAAACCGCACGTGGTTTGCGGCAAAGCTTCTGCCGCCATGATACCACGTTATGTGCGTTCTGGAATTTAAATCCTAGTCTTGGCGCTTGGCACAGCGATATAAAACGCGTCCCCCATAGTGATCATTAACATTGTAAAGTGTCTGTTGGCTCTTCTAAAATGCATTGGGAGCCCCGGAGCCGAGGGCGGTCCAGTGTGCGGAAAACGACTTTAAAAGCACCGTCCACGTTTTCCAAAAATGTCCTAAATGCGTACGTATTAGTGAAATAAAAAATGTGCATTTATTATATTATTGCATTGAAGTCTGCAGAGCATTGCAACCATGATCTGGATGTTGTGGGTGCAATGCTCAGGCTCCTGCATTGTTTACCCCCCATCCCCAGGTCTGTGCGGAAGTATGAATCTTTTGTTATGGAGCTGGAGGAAACAAACAATAGACTACGAGTGCAGGACCCGAAGAATATTTCTCCAAGGATATAAATCTACTTTGTGTGCTCCAAATGCCTTTGCAAACCCAGATATTATCTTATAAATGTAGTAGTGACATCATCACTGTGCTGCACAGAGCAAACCTGCAGGCTCCTCTCACTACATGCTGCCTGAAGGAAACTTGTCTTGTTTCCACCCCCTCCTGTAAAAATGACCACTCACTGCAGCTCTCTCTACTTGTGCAGGGTGACTGGTCTTGTCTCCGCCCCCTCCGATAATAAAGACCGCTCAGTGCTGCTCTCTCTCCTTGTGCAGGGTGACTGGTCGTGTTTCCGTCCCCTCCTGTAATAAAGACCACTCACTGCTGCTTTCTCTCCTTGTCCAGGGTGACTGGTCTTGTCTCCGCATCTCCTGTAATAAAGACCGCTCACTGCTGCTTTCTCTCCATGTGCAGGGTGACTGGTCTCGTCTCCGCCCCTCCTGTAATAAAGACCTCTCAGTGCTGCTTTCTCTCCTTGTGCAGGGTGAGTGGTCTTGTCTCCGCCCCCCTCCTGTAATAAAGACCTCTCAGTGCTGCTTTCTCTCCCTGTGCATGGTGACTGGCCTTATCTCCGCCCCCTTCTGTAATAAAGACCGCTCACTGCTGCTTTCTCTCCTTGTGCAGGGGGAGTGGTCTTGTCTCCGCCCCCCTCCTGTAATAAAGACCGGTCACTGCTGCTCTCTCTCCTTGTGCAGGGTGACTGGTCTTGTCTCTGTCCCCTTCTGCAATAAAGACCGCTCACTGCTGCTCTCTCTCCTTGTGCAGGGTGACTGGTCTTGTCTCTGTCCCCTTCTGCAATAAAGACCGCTCACTGCTGCTCTCTCTCCTTGTGCAGGGTGACTGGTCTTGTCTCTGTCCCCTTCTGCAATAAAGACCGCTCACTGCTGCTCTCTCTCCTTGTGCAGGGTGACTGGTCTTGTCTCTGTCCCCTTCTGCAATAAAGACCGCTCACTGCTGCTCTCTCTCCTTGTGCAGGGTGACTGGTCTTGTCTCTGTCCCCTTCTGCAATAAAGACCGCTCACTGCTGCTCTCTCTCCTTGTGCAGGGTGACTGGTCTTGTCTCTGTCCCCTTCTGCAATAAAGACCGCTCACTGCTGCTCTCTCTCCTTGTGCAGGGTGACTGGTCTTGTCTCTGTCCCCTTCTGCAATAAAGACCGCTCACTGCTGCTCTCTCTCCTTGTGCAGAGTGACTGATCTTGTCTCCGCCCCTTCTTGTAGTTTTCTGCCTGTAGTAGGAGGGACCTGTAGCTCTGCTCTCTGCACAGGCTATGTACAGCACAGTGATGGTGTCACTACTACAATTATATGGTGATATCTTGGTTTGTGAAGCCATTTGGTGCACCAAAATGCATTCACACCCTCAGTGGCTACTGGGGAACATTCTGAAGGCCCCACACTTACTTCCTGCAGCCCCACAACAGAAGATCTATACTTCCATATAGACCTGAGGTTGCAGATAAACAATGCAGGGCCCTGAGCATTGTACCCACAACATCCAGATCATGGTTGCGATGCTCTGCAGACTTCAATGCAAAAAAAAAATGCACATTTTTATTTTGCTGAATAATCTATTTCCATTAATGTTTTTTTTGTGCCGGAGTTCTGCTTTAAAAAAAGCTCAATAGTGTAGTTCATTTTTTTGAGGCCAAAGAAAAGCAGTTTTGTTCATTGTTGGGCGTTAATTAATCCTATGTATAGATATTACACTCTCTGCACTTCTCCTGCATGCTGGTGATTGTTAATGTTTTAACGAATGACATATTTTCGGTTCTTATGGTGTTATTGGATTTTGTTTCCAGATCTGAAACTACAAATCCCATTATGCTTCTGCCTCTGGGAGTCATGCCTGTGGCTGTCAGAGTCTTGCAATGCCTCATGGGACTTGTAGTTCCACAACAGCTGGTGTGCCAAGGTCGCCTTCCCCTGCGACACACTGTTCATTTTAGGCCTCAAGTAGTACAGTTCTTGTTGCTTATGGCAACCAGATTTCCTTTTCGCGCATACAGGGTGAATGATATGGTGAATCTGATTGCACGATGTATGCAACACAGACAGTCCCCCTTTCAATCATTTTTTCATTGCTCTGATGAAGAACAGGGCAGCTTGTATATGGCCGCGGACACGAAATGGTTAACAAGCTCCTGATTGTAAGAAGTTTTCCGCCCCCCGCGCAGCCATTGGCGCAATGTTCACGAGGAGAAGCGTATTGGCCAAAGCGGGCCACGCCCCTGGAGTGTAACAAGTCCCCGATCGTCCCGGGGCGCCACGCCCACCCCCTCTAGTTTGATGGCAACACGCTTCCCGACGTCACCGCTACCCTTCGCCATTGGCTGGCGCACGTCCCCTCGCTGGCCAATGCGCCACCGCGACGGTGACATCAGCTAGCAACCATTCCCCGGCACGCGCCGACAGGGGGGCGTGGCCGGGCCGGGCAGCTAGTGGATCCCGGGGCACGGCCCCTCCCCTCCGTGCCGTGACGCCAGCGCCTAGGAGGGCGCTGATTCGTCGAGCCTGACGGGCTCTTGCTGTTGCTGTGTGGGAAGAGACGGCTGGAGCTGCCGGTATCTGATGAAGAGCCGGGAGCGGGGGAAAGGGGGTGAGTCAATTGGCTTAGCGGCTCTCATCAGCTGCCCCGCTCCTTTGTGTGACATTTGGACGGACTTCCTAACTCGTTGTGCCCATGAGGCCCTTTCTCCGCCAGTCTGTGCTCAGCCGTACTCCTTCTGCCCACTGTCACGCTCCCCGCTTCACTTGCTGCGAGTTGTAGTCCTCTGCCGCGCACTTTCCGCTTGCTGTCTATTGAACCAATTTGCTTGCTGAACTACTACTCCCGTCAGGCCTTACGGCGGCCTCCGCTCTTGATAAACAAGTCACTTCTTCTAGCGCCGTGGTTGGCGGAATGCTGCCACGCCCCGTGCTCTTTCCTATTGGATACTGTACCAGCCTGTCACTTGCGCTGGTTGTATCTCCGCCTTTTCCTTACCCTTCCTCTTCTGTGATTGGTTACTGTAAGCGCAATTCAGGGCTGTTCACGTCCCAGCCGGACCTGCTCCGCCCCCTAGTGGGTGACAGGTGACTTCCCATTCGCTGCGGGTTCTGTCACTGGGCTAGTTGTGGGCTGTGATTGGTTGGCTCGGCCAGCTGTTCCTGCTTCATTCACCATTTTGTCTCCTGGAGTAAAGGGGGCCAGGCAGCAGTGTGTGGATGTCCGTGAGTGAGGGCCAGGTGAGTGTCCACTGCTCACCTACAGCTTTGCCTCCCTGCCTGGATGTGTTTGTAAGCTGCTGGGGACTGCCAGCTGAGATGGAACTTCAAGTCCAAGCATGCCCAGGCAGCCAAAGCCAGAGGGGTGTATCCTGGGACTTGTAGTTCCACAGCAGCTGTAAAGCTCAGCCTGGTGTATATGATACAGTGCACCCTGCACAGCTGTGTGTATATGCTCTCTTAT